GAAGTGAGATGACAGAAGAAATTGAATTTGGAACAAAGGGAATTCGAATTCCCATAAGAATATTCTATTCCTTTGACGCGCTTGTTAGACTTGTTTGACATAATTATCATACTCTCTATTAACCATATCACATTGTTCGAGATCCCGTGTGAATACCCCAGACGTAGAAGTTTAAGATAGTTTTGACATTTTTAAATAATTTTCTTTGCTTTCGACAATGTCAAGACGTCTTTTCAATTCTACTTTGTACAAGTAAAATCCAACCCAAGCAAACGGATAAAGAAATTCACTTTAACAAAAAAGTATGAATAGTACCGTAAGTACCGGAATGAATTCGTACCAAATTCATACCGGTGAAAATTTCGTTTCTTCCTTCGATGTAGAAACATACTACTTTCGTACGTAAATATTTATTTGTAACGGTTCGTTTTTTCTAACTTTGTCTAGATCCATTTTGATGTGCGATGTATCAATATAGCAATCGTAATACTTAATAAATATAAATAATAAAATTAATAATAATTCGAGAAATTTTACAGTTTCTTATGCTTCACACATTTGAATTATTAACGCTCCTTCGCCTTGCGGACATCAAAGTGGTCGAATTGCTTGGGGGAAAATGTGCATTCTGTCGTACATAATCTGATTGGACAGGAAAATTTCGAAGGCGCGAGCGAAGCATTTCGCATCGGATTAACACCAGCGTGATCCAACAACACGAGCTTTCTCACATCTCACCCTTTAGCTTTCAATGGTTGTAGGGTCGCAAAGCACACGCGATACAAGTATTGGAGTTACCTCGCTCGCTCCACGAGTTCTTATCAGATGCCCAGTTACATCGTGCAAATCCATCGTGATACTATCTCGATAAGAGCTATTCGTAGAAATAACTACATGAACGGAGTCCAATTATACACGCACTGTGTCGTGGGTCTCTTTGTCGGTGGTATCGCTTGGTGCGTGTCGCCGCAAGGAATCGCCATGTCGATGGTTCGAAATGCAATTCGTTTTCATTAACCGCTCGGCAAAAAGTTTACGATGGCAGGCAGCACGAGAGAAAGTAATGATTTATCGTATATCCTCATCGATACAGCGACCGACGTAGTCTGAAAGAAACGCGATATTGTGCCATTGACGTTGATCCAATAAAGTTCGTTGAATCAGTTTGATTGATTTAAAGTTGTTTGAAGCGAATATGGACATTTTTCATGAAATTTCGACAATACGCATAGCATGAGCAATTTACTGAACAATTTACATCTGAAATCAAGTGATTTGTTAAAAGAAAGTGTTATTTTAATTCTGAGAAAACCGCAAATAACGAGCGATCGCGGCGTACAGAACGGGTAATTCCGTAACACCGTGAAGAGAATCTTTACAACAGAATTTAACGAAACGATAGCTACGTCGCATGCCTACGTCAGTGCAACGATAATGAATCGGAGCGACTTAATTAAAGGATGTTTTCACGGGAAAAAAGAATGTACCGACGAATTGAGAAACTCGAGCGTGCTACCCGTTTAAATTAAGGGCGGAAAGGGAAAAGAAATAAGAGGAAGTAAGAGCGAATGCCTCGAGGTAATGGAAAGGTTGTGCGTCTGCGAGTATATTTTATAGCGTAGCGACGTATTTTGGAAATATTTCCGGGAATTATTACTCGTGGTGGATACTTCACCTAATTTATGTAATTACATTTCCATCCTCTCCAGCTCGGAAATAGTATTAAAAGGACATTAAAAGTATAAATAAAAAATGGAATTATGTTGTTAAAGCATAATGACGTTTGTGCACATATGGTAAATGTATTTATCACGCTCGTGTTGCGGAAGGTAGTAGCTTTCTTCCACGATATTATCGCGCGTATCTCTGACAAGGTAATTTGAAGCCATCTCGAGGGAAACACGTTATGACTAATGTACTTACCTTAGCTCGTAGTGTCTCGTCTTCTAAACGTATCGGGTTGTGGTGCACATAAGAATTTACGAGCCGGACAAGAGAAATCAAAGCGTTGAATATTTATTGAAAACGAATCGCTATGTACAAACGTATTAAATACAGATGCGTGACATTTATACAGGATCGCAAGGGGAGAGGGACAGCCGGAAAGGTACATCTGATCGCGTACAATAGTCAATATGTCCGCCGATAACAATAGATAACTGGCCCTATACTAGCCACTGTGCGCAATCTGCTTATTTACAACCCATTTCGCAGTTTATATTTGCACGCAGAGATTGGCATGTGCCGTTTCGCCGTGCATGTCTAGCAGCCTGGAACGACGATATTTATTTATTTAAAGGCTATTGTGAGCACAAGAGAAAAAGAAAGAGAGAGAGGGGGAGAGAGAGAGAGAGAGAGAGAGAGAGAGAGGGGGGATGAGCACGCTCTTTACGTAAATTATTCGACAGACACCGGTAATATGATAGACGAGTGTGAACTGGAGATATATGACGAGTTCTCTACACAAAATCAATAAAAGCATTGCTTTATATCACGCAATGTTTCAAATAACTTGAAATTTTACGAAACCAAAAGCGAACGCGAACTCACGTGAATATTTTGAAAGTAAAATTATAGAAATTTTATGAAATTCATGGATTACTGATTAATTTTCTGTGTTAAATTTTATATGATACAGACGTATAATACAGATTTTCATTTATTCATAATAGATTTATAAAAAAATGTTTAACAAAAAAAAATTATAATTATAAAAATTTTCCCGTACGTACTTTATTCGCGCGAACACGTCGGTGTGGTTATCTGAGATCAAAGAATTCGAAATTGGCATGCGATGCATCCGAGCAATAACGATGTAAACGTGATGCAGGAATTTAATTCGATTTGTAATGCTGTTCCATCTCGTTCGATTCTATTGCGTATTTTAAGCAAAGATCGTGTCTCTCTCGGCTGATACCTCCTCGATCGTATTGAGAAACGAGCGCGAAGAATGAATAGTGAGGGATGAGGCGAACGAATGGGGAAAGGGATGAAAAAAAAAAAGCATGGCCGTGTGTTTCGTAACGAAGGCAGCAGATATTAAATTCCATCGGCAAACGCGGAATCCGCGTGTACTCGGAGCGTCCGAGTTTCGACTTTTGTTTGCGTCTAACGGCGAGAGGCGAGTGTGCGATCGGGCCGCTGCCATTGGCTGCGTACGCATGAAAAATAGAGCTCGTTTGAGCTGGTAAAAGAGAGAACGCGTTGTTCAACGAAAATCAGACTCCAGCGAACGTGGTACGCTCGAGCGATGCCCGAATAAATTGTGTAAATCTTTTTCGTTCGCCAGAGAAATGGTAAAGTTCTTTTCTCATTGAATCGTATTTCGTACCACTGCCGAAGCACATTTCGCGATATTGTCTTCTTCGACATATTGGTCGATGCATTGAATTGTGTTACGTATTAGGCGATTAAGTGACGTGTTTCGTCCGAGTTTCGAGACAGTATAATATCTCATCATATATAAATTTTGCAAAAACTTACTATTTTTCTCACTCTTTGCTATACATCTTGCTTACCATTCGTACTATTTAAATTATCTTAACAATTACGCTGTATATCAGTTTGTAAATATCACTGTGCGTGATTTACAAGGCTTCTGCAGTGGGAGGAATCTGAATTTTGCAGCCTAATCCACTTTCGACCATCTCGCCGACGCGCTTATTGGAAGAAATGCGTATAATGCGAGATCAGAGTCGATGCATTTACAACAGTTAGAGTTTCGTTATTAAAAATTGTACAAAGTGTTTTGTTTTCCGTCCGCTTAATAGATTATCGCTATGTTGAGAATAAATAGTCGGCGGAATTAATTCGATTACGTAATAATCTACAATAATTTTCACACTTATGGTTTTCTCTGAACGTCAAGGAGAACACTTCCTACAGAAAGAACTGTCATTATAAATTGACTTATTAAATTCAATCACCTTTTGAAGTAAATAGAGACGACGATATGTATACGATATGTCGAATTTTCAATGATAATTATGGAAGATCTGTCATTAGAAAGATATGTCATCATGTTTCTTTTTTTATATAAAATAAATTATATTTTCGTTAAATATTAATGATATAATCACATATTTTATGCAATTCTCTCTTCAAATAAGTAAAGCGATTGATATAAAAAGTTATACGCGGAAGATTCTAATTTTACATTTCTTTTTGTAGGAAGAAGTATATATAACGTAGTTTAAATCACGTTCGATCGTGCAGGAAGTTTCAGTCTAAAATTATCATTACATATTCTCTTCCGAAATGATTATATATATACATCAGCCCTGTAGATACATCCGCGAGTCTCGCAGGATCGAACGCGTTTGGATTCTTCTGGCAATCATACCATTTACATACATTTGAAATGTTGAACATAGGTTGAATATAAAGAATTAAGTTAATTCATAATGTACTCGTATTTAATCACTGGACCTGGAATTAAGAGGTCGTGACCTATATCACTCGATATATTCGTTTCGCTAACGCAGTGGCAGTACTCCTTACAATATTCTTAACTTCATATATTAAGTGATCAACATAATATCAACATTAGAGACTTTTCATTTTTACAATTAATCAAATTATAATCGAACGAAATTACATGAAACGTTCTTGATCCGTTATTTTATTTGTCATTGTCAATTTACATAAATCATGATCTACATATTAAATTTTTAATTAGTTTTTCCTGGATGTTTAAATAATGAAAAAGGAGAAATAAAAGAAAAAACAACACTATTGTTAGAGGATATCAAAAATAAAAAAAAAATATTTTTAATATTAGACTCACACATGTTTATCTATTAA